AATCACTACCAACAAATACTTCCATAGGCCTATCATCTCTTAACAAAATTTAAAATTTTTTTGGAGCCTAGGGCATTAATGATAAAAGGCTTGAATAAAAATATAGACTTGATATTTCCTTCTAAAACTCTTAAACTAACCCGAGTTAGATATTTACGTAGAAATTGTTTTCCAGACAAATAAAGCTCCCTCCTGGACATATTTAACACATGACTTAGGAACTTTAATCTGCTGAATCTGAATCAACAAGGCTGGTCAAAGAACTCAGTATGCAAATAGATATCAAATCATGTGACACAAGAGGATAATCGGAATACTATGCGTACTGTCTGTTCCAAACTATAAATTCCAAAAGCATTTGACTATAAGGAAATAACACATGCCCTCTACCTGGAACACAAATAATAATGAAGAAGATTATGTAGCTGAAATAAGAAGGGCAACTAATTATGTAAGACATAACTCACAGATAAATACTGTACTTTAAACATGTGTCTTGTTCGGAATAACGCTAATTTCTAATTATCATAACATAAATTAAATATATTGCATAGCATCTGTACCCAAGGCATCAGCTCAGATACAGGAGAGATACGATCTGAAATATTGAATATTTAAATCCATTATTTCCTTCCCTTAATCTTCATTATTCCTACTTCATGCTCAGCACTATGTTAGGAACTGGAAACACAGAAATAATCAAAGATAACCGCTCTTGAGGAACTCAGTTTAGCGAGAAAGGTAGAGATACAAGAAAAAATATATATGTTATAATACAAATGAAGAAGAGATATAGAGATATGAACCAAGTGCTATGAGGGCGGCAAAAACGTTTTCCAAAGAGATGAGTTTTGAGCTGGGATTTGAAAATAAAGGAATATGAATTTGCCAAAGCAGGAAGGGGAAGGGTATTTTATACAAAGAAATGGATTTACAAAAGCAAAGACTGGAGTAAGGCAGGGATACCATACATGATTGTGCAAGTTTAACACTGCCTAAATTATTTGCATCATGGTCATTAAAGATTTCAGCATTTATTAGAACAATTTGCAGGCATACAGCAGTAAAGGAACTTGAGAAAGGGGTACCTTTTTCTAATTTGCACAAAATTATCATCTGGGTTAGCAGAGTCTCTAATAAAAGTTTCTGGCATATTCTAAGGATAGAAGGAAATTCAGTGTGCTAGAAGCAAAGGACACACGGTGAGCAAGAGGCAGGAAATGAGGCTGAAACAAGAAATGGGGGCCGGGCGTCGTGACTCAAGCATGTAATCCTAGCACTCTGGGAGGCCGTGGTGGGAGGATCTCTTGAGGTTAGGAGTTCGAGACCAACCTGAGCCAAAGCAGATGCCCGTCTCTACTAAAAACAGAACAATTAGCCGGGTATGGTGGTGCATACCTGTAGTCCCAGCTACTCAGGAAGCTGAGGCAACAGGATTACTTGAGCCCAGGAGTTTGAGGTTGCTGGGAGCTAGCCTGATGCCACAGCACCCTAGCCGGGGCAACAAAGTGAGATTCTGTCTTAAAAAAAAAAAGAAATGGGGACCTACAAAGCTAAAAGTTTGGGTTTTATATCCTCTCAGCTTTAGACTGGTGATGTGATTAGCTTAATTCTTTCAGGAAGATAATCCTAATTGTGAAGGATAGGATGGAGTTGGATAATAGTCGAATCAGGGAGACCAGCTGGAAGCCCATGGCAGCAAGTAGGTTAAGAAACCTGAATAAAGGCAGTGGCAGTAGTAGGGGAAAGAGGCACCAGGTTTCATAAGCACTTCATATCAGCAAGAGGGTCATCAATCACTGCTTTGATTGAAAACTATATTTTTCTCCCATCCAATATAACCCCATTTGGAAGATGTAAACCAGAGCCAAATAAAAAAACTCTTAACATTTAGATTGAAAGTATACAAATTTAATAATTTAAGTTCTTCTAAATCTGAGCTTACATCTAAAGACTTGGCATTGGGAAAGCATTAAAATAATGAAATGACACTATTAAACATATTTCTTATAAACTGAGGCTTACAGCAAGATGAATTTTTTTCGAATTCTGCCCTAGCTTATGAGAACAATTTTCCAAGTTACTACATTTTCAAAACTTGGAGAATATTCATAGATTCAATAGAAATGAAATATTCATTGGCAGAATTATTGGATATCATTTACTACTTGCCACTAAAAGAGAAATAATTGCATTTCCTCATTTTCTCCCTACCCTTCCATAAGAGTATTATTTTATTTACATCAAAATTCACCACAGCCAATAATAATCCACATTGTAGAATATCTATCTTCAAGTTTTTTGATCAACTATGAAGATGTGGAACAAACATAGACAATTAAAGAAAGCCATTTTCTCTACTACACTTTTAGGGGGCAGCTAGAAATTACCACAAACCTGTCCTTTTTTCCTTAAACTTAATTCAAGGGGCCTGAGCTCCCCAAGCATCTAGAAAAGAAAGTAAGAAATTATCTTAAGCCATCATGACAGCTGCCATCAACCCCCACTAACATGATCTATCTGTTAAAAAACTTTACCGGTACGTATTGATAGTTTTACTGCGTCCACTCCATTCAAGTATGCAAAATAGATGTCATAATGTTAAACTATGAAGTAATTTTTAATTGTCAGGTGATAAAATCTATGGAGTATGTATATGGCAGTTAACTGCTCACAAGTTATTGTAATCTTGTCTTCTAATTGATTTTTTTCAGGTAATTGAATTTTGTAGAGCAGAAACACACAATAAAGACGCTCCAAACCTACAAAACAAAATGTGCGATCACAAAAGCACATGGGATGTAATCATGGACTCTCATGATTTTCGGACTGTATCTCCCATGACAGGAACGAATCTACCACCTCATCCTACAATTTCATTGCTCAAGTCCAAACAGCGAGTAGTCTGTTTAGTACTTGATAAATCTGGAAGCATGGATATGGTAAGACAGTTTTTTGCCCTCTTAAATTAAGTGCTTAAGCTAATAGAAATAGAAACTTAATCTTAGGTTTAGTTCTAGTAAGCTACTAATATAC